GAAGTCATGGATTCTGCTTGAGCAAGTGCATTCAATTTCTTCTGGCCTGAAAAAGCCCACAGAAACCTTGAGTCTGGAGATGTTATGGAGAACCATACAACCACTTGCTTCTTTTCACTGTACTGGCAGTACAGCTCTGAACCTCACACTGTGAGGAGGGTTGGGCATACCCAGGTACTTTGTCTAGTGTTCTGCTCTGTATCTTAGGTACATGTTTTCCATTCAGTATTGGTATTCTCAACTAGGATTAATTTTGTCCAAATTCAGAGCTTTTCAGCACAGAGGATGTGGCCTCAAGTTGCACCTGGAGAGGTGTAGATTAGATATTAGGAAAAATCAATGTGGCACTTAAAGACATGGTTCACTAGTGGCCTTGGCAGTGTTGGCTAGTGGTTGGACTTGATAATCTTAAAGGGCTTTTCCAACCCAAACTATTCTATTATTCTGTGGTTTTTACCTACTTCTCTGCCTTAATGTAAAATTAAGCATTTTCTGCAAGTGCTTGTTTTTCTCTGTTGATTATAAAGGGAATTTTGCTGACTAGATTAGAGGTGGACATCTGTATTGTTGACAACTGAAATTGCACAGATAAATTCCTTTCCATTTGGGCAGCTTTGTAATCTGTTTTGAAATTCTCCTAGTTGGGTGTGTAACAAACCACAGTGTGTCATTTCACTTCTTATTTTCAGGGAAAAGGTGCAGCCAAACAGTAGCCTGACCAAGACACTGACACTTCTGCCCTTGCTTGCGAATAACCGGGAGACACGGGAGATAGCTCTGGATGGAAGACTGAAGGATGAGGACACCAACTTGGCTTCTAGTACTATGTGAGTGGAGTTTTAAATGGTCCCAGGTAGCAGGAGAATTATAGAGAAAAGAGGAGCATGGAGGAGACACTTCCCTCAGGACTTTGTAAAGTTGTGCCCAGATGGATGCATGTAGCACCATCGTGTTCCTTCGGGGTGAACAGGGATCACAGATCTGGAGAGTACCTGAGGCTTGCCTGCCCTCCCACTTTCAGGATGTTCCCCTAGTTCTTGCTCCAGTTGTTGCTATACTGCTGTGCTCACACTGCTTTGTTTTGTCTGGCAGCATTAAGGATGGAATAGACAAGACAGTGATGGGGATTCTGGTTTCCTACAAGATCAAAGTGAAGCTCACTGTTCCAGGGTAAGTGTAACACACTTTTTGCTACATCTGCCTGGAGTTAAGGGAGGGGAGTGTGTTTATGTCATTGATGAGTGAGGAAAGACCAGAACAGTCCACCCCAAGAGAAAGGGCACATGTTATAGGATATGAGGCTCCCTGTAAAGCATAAATTGCCTGGAAAACAGTCTTGGCCTATCCATAGAACTTGTCCTGAGACAAAGGGTTTTTGTTGCTCTCCTTAGATACTACATAACTTTATGGTTGAAGGAGGAACCTCTGGTTTGCATTGCAATTTTTGTTTCAAAGCTATAACTTATTTTGTGAGAAGTGAGGTGAAACTTTGTGTGAACCTCTTATGTTAGCATTGCTGTTGTCCCAGAGCAGAAGGTGGAAACATCTGCCTGAGAGTCATAAACACTGTAGCTCAGGTTCTGTACTCAGCCAGCTTTCTGGGTAAAGCTGATGTTATCAACATGAGCTAGATCCAGGATACAGTACAAAAAACGGGCCAGGATAGTGACTCTTGTTGATGCTGGTCACTGTTTACATTTGTATTTCACTGATCTATGCTTCATTCTAGTATAAAAAGATTTGCCGAAAGCATGATAAAATGCCTGCTGCTTTCTGTGGTCAGCCACTTGCCTTTTGGGTCTTGGAAAAGTGGCCATGCCCAACACTTGGTCAGGAGTTCAAAAACTTAGTCTATTTCTCCATGAGAATGACATGAAAAAGTAAGACTACCTTTTTTAAAAACAAGTTCAGCTGAATTTGTGGCGAGAACAGTACATCAGGACAGTGATTTCAGTAATCCACCAATTACACAGCCTTTGCTGTTTCTTGCAGGAAACCAGAATAGAGAGGCATTAAATATTCTTTGTGTTTCTCCTTGTTTTCTTTTATAGCATGCTGGGAGACCTCACTTCCAGGTAAATGTCATCTTCCTTTTCAGACCATGCAGTCCTAGTTGTTAGTTCATCTCTTTATTCTCTTTTTTTATTTCCATTCCCACCTCCCTAAAAAAAGTAACTGTCCTTTAAACTGTTAGAAGCAAGCAGTTTGTGGTTCTCTTGTGAAAAGGACACTATTACAAGAATGTCTTTTGATTTTATAGAAATGCAAGTACATTCAGCATACAATAAATGCAGTCTATGTAAATGAATATGCCTGGGATATTTATGGAAAAATTTGAGCTTAACTTTTTTGAGAGGAAAAATATGATTAGAAAAATATGAAAGAATGGGTGAAGCTGGAGCTGAGGGCTCAGGCTGGCCCTAAGGAGGAAGGAGGCTGAACCAGGCATGTGTGTGGAGTTGTGGATCTGATACATTCTTTCTTCTCCTAAAGTGAGGTGGGCACAGAGCTGCCATTTCGTCTCATGCACCCCAAACCTGAGGAAAAGAACCCAGCAGGTCAGTTACACCTGTTTTTTGCCTTTGTTCATTGACAGGCTCTGATGAGATCTCACTATTGTAAAGATTAGAGTGATTTGTGCTACAGGAAACCTTCAGAGCCTACAAGGCTCCAGTGTGGAGCTGTTCTGTGTGTTTGTGTGTCTATATATCTGTGTGTGTGTGTGTATGTATCAACCTCCAGGCACTAAACAGAGAACAGGGATGCAAAGATGGGAGAAAATCGAAAAGAGTCATGTTCCCTTTCATCTTTCATGTATGGAATAGCAGCTCAGAGAACAGGGGTTTGAGGAAGCTCTGCACAGTTAAATCTTATGACTGCAATGCAAAATATCCTACATGAAGGTGTCAGCAATTCCCAGCCAGATTGCAGTATAAGCAAAAAAGAAAAAATCTGATGCAGAAAATACCTAACCCCCATGAGCACTGTACAAAGCCAAATACTTTTAAGCAAAGTGAAGAGGTGATAAAAGTACTGATGAGTCTTGAGTCCCTTTATCTTGATGTGGCGCTTGCCATGGTGTCTCTGATGTGGCCTTCTTGTTCAGCAGTTATCCAAGGTGAACATCTCTTCAATGTTAGGGCTCTGTGTGGAAGTGAGGGACCTCTATAACAGTGTGAGTAGCAAGCCTTGCCCAGGCACCTTGAGGCTTGGGATCAGATGCCAAAACCACAGGCTGTCAGGAGCATCCTCCCACTTCCTCAGGCCCTGGCTGGCTCTGTTCGCCAGTGGTGAGCACCAGAGATTGCAAGGTGCTCACACTGAATCAGAAGCTCCTGTACAGCACCTAAAGCCTCTCTTGACCACCAGACACACCAGCCCTTTCCTGCTGGGGCTGTTACAGATGACCCATCTTGTCCTACTCTCTATACTGGGACAAAGTTTAGTGGGCTTCAAACAAAATCCATGGCTGCTTTTGTGCTCCTTTTTTTTCCCTTTCATTTTCTCTTTGTGCCCAAACTGACTTAAAGCTGATGTTTCTAAGAACATGAAACTTTCATGTGAAAGTGACAGTGGAACCTTTGAGAAGAGTTATCCTGAGATAAATGCTTTGGTTTATACCGGAAGCATTAGAAAGGGGTGATTTGAGTCCTTACTGTGTGAAATTGTTGGAGGAATCAAGTGTGAGCAATGAGAAGAGAGCTGGTGATCCACTCCACATTCAGATGCTCTGGTTGGGAATCAGGCTTTGCTAATTATGGATGTGCTGGAGTGGGCAAAGGTAGGTTTTATCTCTCCTGTAACAGTTGCACTGCAGGAAACTCATTTTCCCTGGGAAAGCCCCTGCTGTGAGCAGTGCCAGCACATTCTCTTGGCACAGAAGTGATGGAGGCTGGGATGGCACTGGTGATCCCAGCAGTGTGGCTGGTGAGGGCCATCTAGTGCCTCTGGGCAGCTCAGGAGCTTTCATGGACACCAAGGAAAGCTTGAAAACTTCTAACAAGGCTCATCAAAAAAAATGTACATTTTTACAGTGGTGGTTTTATTTTTTTATATGACTTTTTCATTTAAATGCCAACAACCCCTTTTTATTACTTTATACTTCTGGCAGAAGCATTTGTAATATGAGGAAAAATGGAAGTCAGGCAATTCTCCCTTCTAAGGCCATTTCAAATGAGGGATGATGTACTCTATACAGTACACTCAAAAGGATATGGGCAGAAGACTTTACAAAGAAAATGGAGACCTGCACAATTTCTCAGATCACTTCCCCCAGCACATCCTCTTACCAGGGTCATAGCCCACATGTTGTTTGCTACATCAAAGTCTTCTAGGAGCTTGCTGTCAGAAGTGTCAGCTATGTTCAATGCATTTTTTACAGATGGAAATACCAGGTTGCTTATGAGCTGAAAAAATTGCAGGTATTTTCAGGAGCTATCCCATGGGAAAGTCCTGCAAATGGTTAACACAGGAAATAAATACTTTCTCTTAAAAACAGATACTCTAACACAACAGAAAACTCCTCTGAAACCTGAATAGCTGACTAGAAAACTGTGCTGGAATGTGGTGTCTGAGCTTATTACAGGGAATAAAACAGTCTCCCATATGAAGCTGGTAAACTGAAACGCTTTTCAGCTTTATTGGTTGGTAGTTTTCCATGCACTGTGCTTAACTGCAGAGATGGAGCTTTAACAAACAGTGTTTGGAGCCTCAAAGGTCCCAAAATATGGAATTTTTCTTTGTTGGCTTGTTTAGCAGCCTCTGCAGTGAGTGTAGGCAGAGGTGCATGCACAGGGAGTTTTCAGATCACTCCTTATCTTCTTCATTCCCTTTTGTTTTTATTGATGAGTCAGTAGTGACCAGTTTGCCTACTGCACCTTCCTGCTCACTTGGCTGTCTTAAGGCATAGCTGGTAGAACAAAGAAATCAGAGCAACATCTTATGGAGTTAAAGCTGGACTGGGATTAAAAAATGCCATATATTGTGATTTATTTTGCAGTGGGGGAATATCCTTTTCTCTGGCCAAGGTGATTTATGGAAGAGGTAAAATGTGTAGCATCAATGCATTTAATCATGTAGGGCTGACTTGAGTACAGAGAACCTCAGAAACACAAGCTTCCTGAGAACATGATGTAATTTTTTCAGGGCCAAGCTGGGGCAAGTGTGAGCAAGTGCTGTGTGCTCTGTTTCATAGCAGATGGCTTTGCTCTCTCTAGCTATCTGTGAGCAAGCTCTGAAGCATTCATCACTCAGTAAACAGCAGGTCTGTCACAGTGCATGGCTATTGCAGATTGCTTGATCTTTCTTCCTGTGCCTGCAGGAGACAGAAAAGAAGCAGCTTGCTATCTTTCCTTCCCTGTGTTCATCGCTTCCTTCTCTTGGTCTTCTGCAAGGCCAGGATTTGCATGTTTCATGTGTGCTGGTTTTGTGACTGTTTCTGGACCCATGTGGCTCACATGTGGTTATTTTTAGGCAAAGCAGCTCCTGTCACATTGGCAGTCTGTCTGTTCTGCCTGTTGAAAAAAAAATGTGTTGAGAACTTTTTCTTTTAAAGATAGATTCAAATGGGGCTGTGTCTCTTCATGCTCCCAACACCTTTCCTGCTTAGCAGTTAGCCCAGAAGTTCCTGCTGACTTTTCCTCAAGGCTGTGGTCTTAGCATGAGTTCTTTGGTCTGGGGTTTTCCTGCCAATCTTCTGATGTTTTACGTTTTGTGGGCCTACATCTTGGACACTGGCCTTTGTTTTGGCTGTTGTTCAACAAATGGCCATTTATCTGCTCCCTGATTAAACTTGCATAAAAGGACTGTTTTGAAGAAACGCAGGAATGCTTTGTCCCTCTAACAGTAAAGCAATACTTTCCCCGTTTTGGTATTGTGACTTCCAGAAATTAGGAAATTTTAAAGCACTGAATGTCTTGGAAAATAACAAAACCCACTCTCTTTTTCTTTTCTCCCCCATCAAGTTAAGAGAGGTTAAAAGCAAGTTTATACTGAAAATTACCGCTTGCTATGACTTGAATTATATGGGATAATTTCTGTGGCTGCATAATAAAAGCTTCCAGGAAACCCTTCCCTGAGAGGATGATGGTATTCTGGACCCTCATCAATCCCCCTCCCATTCCAACCCTCAAAACTATTGCTTGAATGCTAATTAAAAGAAGCGAAAGTCTACCCATTTTCTGAGAATTTTTTTAATATTATAATATTAAATAAGCCACAGGACAGCCAGAAAACTCTGGAGTAGGCCTAACTTCTCCTAGTGTGCAACTGCAGCATGTTAGAGTTAGTGCTGTAGCCTGAAGGTGAAGTGGTGCATCTTTGAATATAATCTTCCATCTGAGGTACATTATAAGCACTTCTCTCCTGCCACACTATCTGTGTATTGACTCAGTAATCATTTCTCTGACAGTTAAGTATATGCCAAATTGAAACAATACCTACCTCACTCAAAAACAGTTTCAAATCACTGGTGGGGATCTTGCTTAGCTTCACCCACATCACTGATATCACTGTTCCCATAGTAAGGAAAGTACCTCCAAGAGGGGAAAGAGAGCAAAAGAATAAAAATTGGAGAAAAAAATGGAATAAGAATGATGTTTTATGTGTTGGAAATTTTAGAAGTTCTAAATGTTTCATTTTAAATTAATGTCAATCAAGCATACATGCCCTGAGACTTTCCAGACTTCATCTTGGCTTCTCTCCTGGTCTGGAGAGATGCCATCAGGAGTGTCTTTACATGAGCCATCCTTTGAGGCGTTTTGGCTGGAGTGGCCCCCTTTGGCACACTTTTAATACTGACTTTTTCAGCAGTGTGTGTTGTGGATGGGAAATCTCCAGGTAGTGAGTTATCCAGTCACTGCAGTGCCCCAGATCCCTGCTGACTTCTGTAAAACAAGGATGCTTTGCTCCCTGACCCAAAGCCATGAGAAGTAAGCCAGTAAAGTCACTATGCCTTCCTAAAATAACTGTGAGAACAATAAAATCCCTGCAAATACAGTCTTCTGCTTATTTTAGGCTGTGCTGAAACAGCTTTCAAGGAATCCTGCTAGTAAGCAGGATTTGTTACAGTGTGGTTACCAAAGATCCCACTCAAGAAACACAAATGCCAAAGGTCTTAAAACCATTTTTAGAGCAAAATGAAATCAGGAGTGTTGCCCCAAAAGCCTTAACCCATCTGAATGAGAGATCCCTGAGGTGTTCTTGTACTTTGACCTCTAATTTTAATACCTTCACGTTTATTGAACAAGAGCATTGTCTTCTCATCTAAGTCTAAGCTGACTTTTTCAATCACAGTGATAGAGGAATTAAACTTGACATCATGTCATGCAAGCACTGTCAGCTCAGAGTCCAGGTGTGTGCACAGATGTCTCCCACAGCTGTGACCACGAGCAAACATAGATGGGAAAATCTGTCTCGGTTCTGAAGGGTTGAGGCCCTTCAGATAGCTTGGGCATCATTGCTGGAATGCTTTTCCATTTGGGAGATTGAGATTTGCCTCATCAGGTGTAGTTATGCACATTTTGAGACTTTATGGAATTCTACTTGTACTGCTGCAAACGCTGCTTCTTGTCACTGCTCTGCTCTGTACATTTTTTGCAAATGTTTTAGCATCTGCTGCTCTGACTACCTGGTGTGTCTTTTTTCCTCCTTTGCTGCGTGCTCATGACTGCAGGGAAGGATGGGTAAGTTTATTTTAGTATTTCACATTCTAGCTACACTTGTGCATTGACTCTTTTAAAAACTCCTCAAAACTGTCCAAAAATCCCCAGCTTAAAATCCAAAGTGAGCAAGTTACTGTGGCCTGACAAATGACTGCTCTGAGTTAAACAGCAGTGACTGACCATGTGAAGATAGATGAAGAGATCATGTTTTGCCTAACAGGGTGTGTTTGTGCTCTATATGTAGAAGTGTAAGGAACTTACTAGGTTTGACCATGTGCCTCTATTTTAGTATAGAAACAATAAGGGTGAAATGTTTCACATTTTATTGCTTGACAAAGCCCCTTGAAAGCTCTAGGCTATTCAGCTAGCTGATCAATGTGTATCTGGAATGGACATGATTCAGTACAGATGAAAAACATCCTCAGTTTGTGCCTTGACTTGCTTTTCATTTTAGCTAGAATAGCACCACTGAAGATGGTGTCTGTGGGAATGTGATCCAAATCACTTTGGAGACAAAGGAAACACTATCAGTCTGTTGTGGGCTTCTGTTGCCTATAGTCTGTGAAAAACCTGTGTTTCATTCATTGCAGTGAAGCAGAGCTGGTATTTGAGGAGTTTGCTCGTCAGCAGCTAAGAAATACACCTGATGAAGAGGACAAGAATTCACCCTCAACTGATGAGTGATTAAAAGAACAGCCTGACAGAGGAGCTGTGTTGCCTGGCTTCAGTTACAAATGTAGAACCTAAGTTTCTAGTAATCTGCATGTTCTCAGGCCGTGCATGGTCTTCCAGGGATCAGCCCTGAGGTCAGTGGACATGACATCAGGAATCTCTATTGCTTACTACAAGATTCACCTTGCATGGGCAAACACAACACCTGGTTCTTACCCAAGCTACCAGAGGACAACAGGACACCTGCCACATCATGACTTCTGCTTTCAGGGCTGCCTAATAAAAAGGTTGGTTGCTTTCCACACTGGTGAGAGCTTAAATGAGTTTATGCAGCCTGCCTGTGACTTTGAAGTGCAAGTGAACGAAATCCTAGCCTGAAAGGCTGGCTTGCAGCCATGGGTGATTCATCAAAGTTTCTCAGAAGACTGTACAAAACTGATTTTACTTTCTTTTGGTTGCTTTTGCATTGATGCTTTACCAAATTCAACCAGTGAATTTTTTCAGTGCTTACACTGTCCCCATGTGGCTTCTACACTCACTTTCTGTACCAGTAAATGTACACAGGTTGTCTCCCACAGCATAGACAATGCTTATACACAGTATTAGCTTTCTAGCAATATGCTTGAAACCATGTTATTAAAGATGAGATAAATGTGCACTGTCAATGAATTGCTTAAAGTTCCCTACATACAATGCCAAACAGAAATACAAGTCCAGACAGAGTCTGTATTTAATCAAGTTTCCTGTAGGCAACAGCTACAAAAGTGGGTGCAGGAAAATGAAGGAGGAAATTATGGCGCAGCCTTCCCTGAGGAACCTTTCCCAACATCCATCTGCCAGCAGTTGGTTTATGCTCTAAGAAATGAGATTGCATTCTACAAACTTTGTTTTCTCTTGTTGATCTGGATATTCTCATTATCCATGTAAATGTTGGCTATTTTCCTGAATCTCATGTAGGTTTCTGCTGAAGTGAGTTGCATCAGCTAATTACATTTTGCATGTAAAACAACTGGTGTTTTATTTTTCTATTTAAAGCAGAAATCTATTTTTGCTTAAATCTGCTTTTCAGTGTCCCTGGTTTAAATTTCCCTGGAAAGTCTGAATGCAGGGCCCACATTTATTAATATAGACTTACATTTCCCACACTATACTCTGGAAAATAGAATTAAGAACTTCAGACTTGTAACTGTTTCCTTCTGTAAACTGGTCTTAAGATGCTGGAAGCAGTTAATTAAGACCACAGCTTCAGAGTTCCATCAGTGCTCTCCCCTAATACACCTGTTCCTCAGTGCTCTCCATTAGTCACAGATGTCTCACCTTAGCTTGAATTGCAAGAGGCACAATGTTTGCTCTGCATTGGGTTCTTTGCTGCTAAAGGGACCCAGCCAATTTCAGGTGTTTGTGATCAGGATAATTTGTGTGATTTCAACTTTGGGGGAGGGACAGTTATTTTCACCTGGATATCTGGGAAGGCTTTTCCCCGGTATTTTTATTACTAATTTGTTGCTCGCTCAAGACCACACAGAAGATACAGTAAAGTTGAAGAAATTACTGGTTGTGAGTATGCTGGTCTTGGAGAGCAGGAATTCAGCAAATCCTTTAAAGATCTAAGAGAAGAAGGGGGAACAAGTTTTACTTCAGAGTGTGTATTTCTCCACAAAGGTGTTTCCTTCAGTGTTTCTGGCGACTAGACTGGTAAGTATGGGACCAGTGAACTCAGAGATCTGGTTTTCTTTTCCTTTTTAAAAAAATTATGTCAACTTTGTGAAGGCCCTCTGTTGCTGCCTGACATTCCTCTCAAATTCAGTTGTGGTGATGACTTCTGTAAGCTAAGTGGGACAAAATCACAATGCACTCTGTGCAGTGGGGAGGAAATGGTTGTTAAATGGTTATTAAATCTGTTCTTTTGTCTGGGCTTGGGAAAGCACTTTGAAGACACTATTTGTTCATGCTGGTCATTTGCTCAGAGAGCAGTGAGGGCTTTCTGCTGGTTCCTGCAGATCCCTGTTCTGCAGGACAAGCTGGACTTTTCTCCAGCCCTTCAGGCAGCAGATGCTGACTTCTGTCAGCAGAAAATGGGTCTCTAGCTAGAACTGTTTGCCTTTTATCTTCCCTTTCTTCTGGTTCTGGTGTTACATTGATCTACCGAGTCAGACCTGTGGCCTGCTCCTCATGTTTGCCGCTGGGGGAGAGCAGATCCAATTTCCTGACTGCGGCTTTGATGTGGTGGGACTGTGTAAAGAGCTGCCAGCTCCCGGAGAGGGATGCGCCCTGGGAGCGGTGGCACCTCTGGACCTGCTGTGTTTGAAGACGGCTTGGAGCAAATGACAGGACGCGTTTCGTGACAGACGCTTTCCCCTCGCACATCTCCGTGCGATCCCAGCGGGAGCGCTCCACTGCCCGTAGCTGATGGGTGTGGGAGAGGCGGGAGGGGGTTACCTGCGAACGGAGCGGGGCCGGGCTCGGCACCGGGAGCGGTCCGGCCTCAGCGCCCTTCGCGGCGGGGGCTGCGGCATCGCGTTAAATCCTGGGAACGGGGCCGAGCTGTGGCAGGGGCTGGCCGGGCAGGTGGACAGCCGTCAGTGGAGGCGTTCAAGGAGCGAAGGAAGTGGCACTCCGTGCTCTGGTCTGGTTGACAAGGTGGTGTTCGGTTGTAGGTTGGACTCGATGATGTCAGAGGTCTTTTCCAACGCGAATGACTCTGATTCTGTGCTGCGGTAGCCGCGAAGAATGGGAAGGAATAGGGACCGCAGTCCCGGCTGTCGGGCTGGCCTCAGCGGGGAGCGCTGCTAAACGCCTTTGTCCGGGTTCCAGAAGCTGCGGCCGGGCCGCTTTGCTCGGGCGGCTCGCAGGGAGCCGCGGCCGGGC